TTCTCCTCAAAGGATGTTTTGGGCATGTTTTTCCTTTTTAAAGTTGGGACCCATTATACCACTTAAAGGTTCAGTTATTGGAGAAGTTTACAAAGGTGTTCTTGCCACTTATGCAGTTCTAACGCTCAAGGAATTTTCCCGAAAAACAAAAAAAAAAATTATTTTTCAGGAAGACAATGCGCCAGTTCACACTTCAAAAGTTGCACGAGAGTTTTTGCTTTCTTAAAAGGTAAATTTACTTCCATGGCCTGCTCAAAGTCCTGATCTTAACCCAATTGAGAATATGTGGTCTATAGTGAGGTAAAAATTCGAAAATGCAATCGTCAACCTTCAAGCATTCCTGAGTTTGAAAAGGCGATAAAAGAAGCGTGGGATGCGATATTGCAAAAAGAGTACCGAAACTTGGTGCGATCAATGCCAAATAGAATTCAGGCAGTGATCGACGCCAATGGAGGACATACTAAATATTAATGTCAGTTTTCGAAAAATAAAAAAAAATTGTATGTTTCTGTAAAAAATAAAAATTATTGAAAAATAAAAGCGTGCAATACTTTTGTCCCCCCCCCCCCGGTAGTTCACCTTTTTTTAAAAAACAATTTTTTAAACAAAAAAGATTTCTATTCAATATCCACGAATCATCATGAGCGACTCACCATTTCGCACCGTAACCATTGCGGCACATTAGGTTATCATGTCGCAGACGCTTTTTTGAATGATGGATCTTACAAGGTGAAAATCCTTCGAAGAAAGCCGGAAAACGTAAACGCGAATGCTAGTTCGTTAGCCGAAAGAGGCGCAGAAATCGTATATGCGGATTATAGTCAAAAAGATGAGCTTGTCAAAGCTCTTAAAGGAACCGATGTTCTGATCAGTACCGTAAGGACACAAGGTAATAATGATACCTTTTACGATGCTCAATTACCACTATTGACTTCCGCAAAAGAAGCCGGTGTAAAGAGATTCATCCCGTCTGAATTTGGTAGCGAATTTCCGTACGTTATTTGATTATATTTTTTCATCATCTTTTTTGGTTAATGTGTTGTGAGTCCTAATAATTTCATTTTAAAAAAGGGATCTAAGTCATCCATTATCGGATGACAAATCAAAATTCTGAGCAGAAGTTGAAAAAAGTGGACTTGAGTATACGATCATAAACAACGGGGTATTCTCTGAATACCTTGACTTTATAGGATTTGACGCTAAGAACAAGAAAGTCACGTTCATGACCGTTCGCGACTTAAAAAATTTCTGCAACTTCTTTACATGATGTTGGTAAATACACGGTTGAGTCACTTAAAATCCCAGATGCTCGTAACGCTTATATAAGAGTTGCTGCCGACACCTTGTCATTCAATGAGTTGCTTAAAAAGTTTGAAGAAACTTCTGGTGAGTATCTAACTTTTCATTCTAAACTATTACATTTAAAAACGGTAGTTAATGATGACTCTTTGTATGAAGGCTCCAAGTGGGAAGTTGTTGAAGATAGGGAAATACGAAAACGTTTCCTAGAAAAGATCGACCCAGTTCCCTCGCCTCTTGAGGAATTGCAAGCCTTTATTTGCGAAAACACGCGATTCGCAAAGACAGATAACGATAAATTCAGATTCACTCCTATTTCTATCGATGATGTTATCAAAGCATTAGTGAAGGGATCCCAAAAATTTTTTGATTCGTAGCTTATCTTCTATTATGTTTCATTAAGACAAATAAAGATATGATGTTTTTAAAATCATAAATGTTACCTGGATTGTCGTATATTTTTACGGTTTTAAACATTCATAAACCGCAAGGTGGATAAAATAATTCTTCATAAAATTATCAGTCGATTTTCTAGAAAATCTTTTGCTATGCTACAATCATCTCATAAAATGATCATTATCGTATTATTCACCTTGATTATATTGTAAGTGTTTTAAATGTACTTGAACAATTTATTTTTTTTTTTAGAATAAAATAATTATCTACGTTCGCAAATTGTATCCACGCTCTGAAGTAATCAAATTTAACTTTCAATTGGACAAAATCAAATAAGATTATATTTTATAAACGCCTTTTTCAATAATCGATACCAAAGGATTGGGAAAAACAAGAAATATTCCTTACCGAAAACGTCCTCAAAGTTAATATTTTGCCAGCATTTAATTTCCAGTTCTATAATTTATTAATTTAAACAAGAAAAAAAGAACATTATTTGGTACCATCGTTAACAAATGATCGGTTAGAAAATATTTTATTATCCAATCTATGTAAACTGCATAGTTACAGTATTTCATAGCAACTTTTCAGATTGAATTAGAAGAGTTCCCGATTCGACAATATATCAATGTGTTTAAAATATTCACTGTGGTAACTGGACTGTCATGATTTTTCAAAGATGGAACCGATGCTTTTATGAAAATTGAAACCATCAAATAAAACTTGGTAAGGATTCAAATAATTATCACGTATTAACTCATATCACGACCATTTTAAAAACTTCTCTATAATTCGAATGTTGTAATTAAATCACCCTCCGGAAAAAAAAAGTAACACTCATGATAAATTGAAAGGCTCAAAATGGTATTATTTATTTGAAACCCATAAGGGTTATTCTGATCTATCTTTTTATATTAATTATCAAATCAAAGTCCGGATTTTTTGAAATTTTTATTTGGAAGTTACTAGGGATGGGGACGGTTCAAAAAGAGCGACTCCGAGTCGGTTCTGGAACCGATTATAAATTCAACATATTTTGGGTTTTCCTGAATTACAAACCAATTTTAAAAATCGAACCGGAACCGACTCCGGACCGGTTCCAAGAGTCGGCTCAAATCGGATTGTCAAGGTAATAATAGGACGAATTTGTTTGATAACCAGTCAAAAAATTTTTTTAAATTGATGCTCTATTAGTATAAATTTAATTTAACGCTCAAAGTTTAATTTACTCAAGAAGAGTCGAAGTAGAATCGAAAATGGAACCGATAGAACCGTCCCCATCCCTAAAAGTTACTGTTTATTAGCCAATAAAATAATGAAAAAAATTTGATCATCGACCAATCAAGTGACTATGCTTACGCCTCCAACTACTCGCTTGAAAAAATATCGAACTTTCACCGCAAATATTACCCATATGTTGAGAAACTCTTCTTTCTTGGACTTAAATAGAAGCTGCTCGTTAGCTCAGTCTACCAGGCCTTCTTATCGTGTCTACTACTATTGTTTATAACGCTCGAAAACTTCAGAAAATCAAAACATATAACGATCATACTTGCTGATTTCAAGGTCACGCTACAAAAAATATAAAACGGACAAACTACTATTTGTCCGAAAAAGTACTTTAGGTTTTTATCTATATGCCAGTTATTTAAATCTTATGAGCCGTAATGTGATTTTACTGACAACGCTTCCATATAGTGTGTCCGGATATCTCTTGAAATCAGACGATATTCAACAATAAGCATGTCGAATTATGTGAGTATTTCGTTAATATTTTAAAGGTTTCTGATGATGATAAATAGGAGCATTATGAGTGGTTATGATGGTATACTTTTCACCTTGTGATTGCTTTATCATCATGGTATACTGTTGCCACCTTGTGGTCGCTTTAGTATCTTGCGATGGTATACTGTTGGTGCTTTAGCACATCCCGAATCTCTGTTTTACTCTTGAAATCTCCACTTTCAGATAAAGTTTACGACCAATTTTTTTTAAAAAAAAGTTAATTTCTACTTATAATAATTTTACTTTATTTTAATTTTTTAGCATAATAATCAAGATTTTATCATTATTATCACGAATATGCTGTAGCTATAGAAAAGACATCTAATTCTATGTGATATTGGTTAACAAAAGCAGTAGCCGATTTATTGTTGATACAGAAAATCCACACATTTGAATCAGGAATGAGTTTCCTCAAACAATGAACTGATACCTTTTAAATTGATTTTGATTAGTAACAATGAATTGATCAATTATCAAATCATTTACAATTCAAAATATCCCTTTATTATTGATTGAGATATGCTCATCAATAATTCAAAAGGAACTAAAAAAAAAAGGTGGTCAATACATGCTATTCAATAGTAGCAATATATAATAAATTTGTAAACTATTATCCTTTAAAAATTGGACTTTACCTTGCAGCATTAGGTGCATTATGTAATGCAATTAATACAAAAAAAAGGATGAATTTTTAAAATTATTACTGATTTTAAAATACAAGCATAGTAAACTGATGTTTGTGTTTAATCAGTCAACACCCATCTATATTTTACTATTAAATAATTTTTCACCTTTTGAATCTTAAATTTACCTTTAAATCACTTTAATTTACTCTATTAAATCATATTTTTTTACAAACACAATAATGACTACAAGAATCATTTGGGATGATAATGAAATCAACTTATTAGTCGAGGAAAGAAGGAGGAGAAACGTAGAGTACCATGTAAGGTACAGAGGCAATAAGACGGGGTTCTGGAGGAGTGTAGCTCGACGAATCAATCGAAGATTCGGTACGGCATATTCAACTCGCCAATGCGAGTTGAAATGGAGGAATTTAGTACGGGATTACAACGTAAGTAAATAAATGAATAACAATATAATAATAAATATAACTTAACAGTATAATTAATATCTTTTAGGATTTTTGCGATTATCAAAATAGAGCGAGAAGAGGTGGGAGGTGAATTTATATTATGGAAAGATTATACGATCTCTTCAGGACTCAATTCTGAGATAGGTCAGATAATAATTAAAAACATTTAAATGATTTTTAGATTTATATTAAATATATTTACTTTTTTAGAATTGACACATTTGTGAAAGAAATCGTAATTTACTTATTATAAGGCAAATACGAAATATAAGGCAAAACCGTGATGAATTTGCAAGACAAAACTGAAATATGCGATAAAATTGTGACGTGCCTGCAAAACCTGCAATTTCATTTTTTTCTTATCGTTCGTTTAATTTTATGTTTTCGTTTTTCTAATTTTATTTTTCGTTTCATTTCATTTTCCTGTTTTGTTTCATTTTCCTAATTTTTTTATTTTGTTTCGTTTTTTAATTTCTTTTTATTTATTTAATTTCATTTTTTCGTCTTATCTTGTTCTTTTAATTTCATTTTATAGTTTTATTTTGGTTTCTTAATTTCATTTTTTTATTTCGTTTAGTTTTCTTAATTTCATTTTTTTATCTCATTTTGTTTTCTTTTCATTTCATTTTTATTTTTTCTTTATTTTATTTTATTTTAAAAAATGATAAATTAAATCTTTTTTTAAAAAAAATTTAAATAAATTAATAAATCTGTTGTATAATGATTAACAGATTGTATATTAAAATAAAATGACTAGAATTTACAAAATAATGTGAAAATATTTCTGGAAAAATTATATCATAGTAAAATTATATTTGTGTAATAAAATCAGTAATCATTTACTATGATGAATAATTCATTATAGCGTTAATGAAAATTTTTATAATAAAAGTCTGATTAGCTAGATCAGCAACTTCATTATATCAAAATGTGACTATATATATCAACATCTAATAAGCACAGCAGGTTTAAGCCTGATTATTTAATTTTTAAAAGAATTGTTACATATTAAATTCATATAAAAAGAATGATCATCTATCTTTAAATAGATTTACATTTACAAAAATAAATTCACAAGGTTATAATAAAAATTTTTCTAAAGTATACCTTCTGTTTTATAAAATGTTAAAGTAATTTAATAAAATAAGATAATTTAAAATTTAGCTAATAAAGGTTTTTTTGCAATATGTTATTTATATGTATATATATAAAAAAAGATAAAAATAGATTAAGATTTGAAATTATATATTAATATATATTTTTAACACTGAAACTGTAATCCGTGACTACGCTACAGATAAGTCATGTAATCAGAATAATCGACATAGTTGACAAAGTTGACAAAGTTGATAGAGTTGTTAAAGTTGTCAACGATGATCAATTTAACATATTTAT